CCTTGGATTTATGATAGCTGCGAACGCCTCCTATTGGATTTTCTGGATACCAGTGTGTCCTATGAGGCGCGAACGACTCCAGCGCAGACAGGTTTTGGAAAGTGTTGAGGTTAAATGAGTGTGTGTGTGTGTGTGTTTTTATCTACATGACTCAATACATCAACTCTTCGATACTACAAAAATACTTCATGTCTTTTGTTTTGCTTTGATACTCCACTACGCTATACACTCTATGTAAGCTCACACATCCATCCACCAACCACCCCGCACCCACATACAAAGTCTCCCCTCTGTACATGACACTCTTTGGCTGGAAATTACCCCCCAAAAAAAGCGACCCATTTTAAGTGAAAACACGTAATGAAAATCAAATAACTAAAAATAAAAAAAAAAGATAAGCAAGACCATCATCACAGCAAAAAAAAAAAAAATAATTGAATTCGATATATTGCCTTAGGACAGTTTCATCTACGTGTGTTCGTTTACTTGTATGTCCCGTGTAGCTAAGACTCCCTACCTCTCGTGACTTGAAGATGAGAGAAAACACGAACTACGTGACTTACCCTAATATGGTGTGGCTACTATAATATGGTGTGGCTACTCCTAATATGGTGTCTCTCAATATGGTGTTTACTATAATATGGTGTGGCTTACTCTAATATTGTGGCTGACTCTAATATGATGTGGCTTACTCTAATATGGTGTGGCTGACTCTAATATGGTGTGGCTGACTCTAATATGGTATGGCTTACTCTAATGGATTGTGGCTTACTCTAATATGGTGTGGCTTACTCTAATATGGTGTGGCACTCCCTAATATGGTGTGGCTTACTCTAATATGGTGTGGCTTACTCTAATATGGTGTGGCTGACTCTAATAATTGTGTCTAATATAGGTGTGACTTCTAATTTGGTGTGGCCTCCTAATATAAGTGTGACTTACTCTTATATGGTGTGGTTTACACTAATATGGTATAGCTGACTCTAATATGGTGTGGCCTCTAATGGTGTGGCTTACTCTAATGGTGTGGCTTACTCTAATGTGGTGTGGCTTACTCTAATATGGTGTGCAATTGCAGCAGAACTATAACGAACTAGATGGTTGTGATTCTTCTCCTCTAGTTACAAAAGGGAGGGAGGGGAGGGAGAAAGAAGGAGAAGGAGGGAGGGGAAGGGAGGGAAGGGAGGGAGGGAAGGGAGAAGAAGGGAGGGGGAAGGAGGAGAAGGAGGAGGGAGGAAGAAGGAGGAGGGGGAGGGTGGGAGAAGAAGAAGGAGGGGAGAGAAAGGAGGGAAGGAAAGGGAGGGAGAGGGAAGGAGAAGAAAGGGAGGAGGGAGGGGGAAGGGAGGAGAAAGAAAGGGAGGAGGGAAGGAAGGAAAGGAGAGAAGGGAGAAGAAGGAGGAAGGAAGGAGGGAGGGGGGAGAAGAAGGGAGGGAGGGGGGAGAAAGGAAGGGAGGGGGAGGGGAAGGAGGGAGAAGGGGAAGGGAAAGGAGGGTTGGGAGGGAAGGGAGGAGAAGAAGGGAAAGGGAGGGAGGTGGGGAAAGGAGGAAGGGGAAGGGAGTGGAGGGAGGATGTTAGAGCACAATCTATCTTCATGAATCTACTCCCTCAGGACGCCATGTGTCATGTGTCCTCCAAGTGTATTGTCTTTATACGATGACACATACAGTACATAGATCCCGAGCACACTCCTCCCTCCCCACACTCCTCCTCTCCCAACCTCCTCCCTCCCCCCACCTCCCCTCCCTCCCCACCTCCTCCCCCACCTCCTCCCTCCCCAACTCCCTCCCTCCCCCCACCTCCTCCCTCCCCCAACCTCCTCCCTCCCCAACACTCCCTCCCTCCCCCACACACTCCTCCCTCCCCAACACTCCTCCCTCCCCCACCTCCTCCCTCTCCCAACCTCCTCCTCCCCCACACCTCCTCCCTCCCCCCACACTCCTCCCTCCCCCACACTCCTCCCTCCCCAACCTCCTCCCTCCCCCACCTCCTCCCCAACCTCCTCCCTCCCCCCACCTCCTCCCTCCCCCAACACTCCTCCCTCCCCACCTCCTCCCCCCACCTCCTCCCCCCCCCACACCTCCTCCCTCTCCACACTCCTCCACCCCCCCACACTCCTCCCTCCCCCACACACACTCCTCCCTCCCCACCTCCTCCCTCCCACAACCTCCTCCTCCCCCCACCTCCTCCCTCCCCCCCACCTCCTCCCTCCCCAACACTCCCACCTCCCACATCTTCTTCCATCGTGTTAATCTTCCATCTTCAGCCACCAGCCACACCTACATCCAATCATTGTTAACATCTGTCATCGTCACTACTCAGGTTGTTTCTCTTAGTTAATAAACCCACAACAAACTGGGAATTAAACAAAAAATATGATAAAGAACTATAATTGGTTCATTTATCATATGAACATTAGTAAGGTGAATAAATTAAGTTTTCAGGGACAAAACTTCATCTTGAAATAGTAATAAGTGAGAATTTATTGGTAGGTCATGTTCTTGTTTACATGGGATCAGTACACATCTCTGTCTCTCTGTCTTCCTTGTAAATCCACCTGCCAGCACCACCTGCCAGCACCATCTGCCAACACCATCTGCCAACACCACCTGTCAAACTCTTGGTAAATTACTGAGATAGGAGAGGCCTTGTTGTTATCGTGGGCAATAGAGCTCTCAGTGGTGTGGCTGACCCCCTCTCTCCCTTCTCGACCCATCCTCCAAGTTTGGCTTCAATGTTTACAGTAGAAACTTAGGTATAATGCGAACTCTTTTTATTTACACGATTGATAGGTAGACGAACGGACACCATCAACGCAACAGTAGAAAATAATTGTGTTTTCCTTATTTATTGACGAATTTTCATCTCTTATTTTCATATGAACTTATTGATATCACTTATTTACTTGATTATGATATTACCATATATGTAGTTTATGATTTGTTATATTATATTTTGTCATCTAGCGTCCCGATATTGTTAACAACCTGCTATCATCACCCAGTTTCCTCCTCCTCCTCGTTACATTAGCGGGCTTACTATTTCTTCACTTCATCTCTCTCCTGTTGTCGGCATTTTACAGTGTTGACCTACCACACGTGCGGCCTTCACGGGACGCCTCGCTCCACCAGTGTATTAGATAACACCTGCCTCATGTGTGTGGCCACGTGGTTGTGTAAGTAAGAGAGAAGGAACGTCACTCTGGGCTCGTCTGCCTCTGCCTTCGTCTGCGTCCTCCCCCTTCGTATGAGTCCTCCTCATCCTGCTCCTCCTCCTCGTCCTCCTTCTCCTCCACCTCCCCTTCCTCCTGCTTCTTCCTCGCCACGTCATGAGTAGATGATTCAGTGATACTAACCCAGTAGAAGACGTGTGCCCAAACAGTTGTGTACGATTGAACGATTTGCCAGTCAGTAAAGAATTCGCCAATCAGTTGTGTACCGAGTAATCGATTGGTTATTCAGTAGCTAATCCTCATCTGCGGTTCAAGTAGAGGAGTGGCCAATCAGTTATGTCCAAGTAAACGATTGGTTGGTCTGTTGTATCCAAGTTTGATGGTAGACGAATCATGTGTTCCCGATGTAAACGTTTAGCCAATCAGCTATTAACCTGTGTGTTCCCTTTAGATACGTAGCCAACTAACTGAATCTGAATAAACTACACCAATCTATTGTATTTAAGTAAACGACTAGCTAATCTATTTTGACTAAACGACTAGCCAATCTATTGTATTTAAGTAAACGACTAGCTAATCTATTTTGACTAAACGACTAGCCAATCTATTGTATTTAAGTAAACGACTAGCTAATCTATTTTGACTAAACGACTACCATGTATTTAAGTAAACGACTAGCTAATCTATTTTGACTAAACGACTAGCTAATCTATTATATTTAAGTAAACGAGTAGCTAATCTATTTTGACTAAACGACTAGCCAATCTATTGTATTTAAGTAAACGACTAGCTAATCTATTTTGACTAAACGAATAGCCAATCTGCTGTATTCAACTAAACGAACTTCACACACACACACACACACACACACACACACACACACACACCTATATACCAGTACACATGGGATTAATCTAACAGGTTCGGGGAAACACAGTGTTTAACAACTGGAGTATTGCCCATCACAGTCTCCCACTGCTGTCAGATGGATACAATTTTTCGGCTCGTATGAAAACACAATCTGTAAGTTTCTACCCCTTTTATATTCTCGTGTGTGTGTGTGTGTTAGGTATTCATTTATACCCCCAGAAGTTAAGGTGATGTTTCTCGTCACCTGTCTTAACCCGCCAAGTTATTTATGCAAAACTTTTTTCTCATTATCATACTCTGTAAAAAAAAAATTCTCAACTATTTACCACTTTCCTACACTTCATGGAACACTTGACTCCTTTCTTTATTATTACACTGTCAGTTTTGTCACTTTTCTTTCCACTTTTCAAGACATATTTTGCTTATCTGGCTCAGTGTTGTCGAGTGATATGTTTTCCTCGTCGTCAAGCTTCGTGACTGCCAGACGTATAAATAACAGCATCTTTGTCTCCTTGATATCCCACAACACACTCTCACCTCCACAACAGCCACACACTCAGTCTCTCACCTCCTTCATTACCTCTAAGACTTACGGTAGGAGTTACCTCAGCATCTACAAGCATGAAACACATTAACCGCTTCTCGTCAGATGTAAGAGGTTGTTAGCTCCCTCTTACTCCAAAACCTCAACACGTGCGTCTCTCTGTCTCTCCTCTGACCTCAGTAAGACCACCTCTCTAGCATCTCACCGACTGTCTCCTCCTCAACAGATATGGAGTCGTAGTTTCTTTCACTTGGGCATCTACAACCTCCTCCTTCTCTCTCTCTCACTCATTACATCAAGGTAAGAATGGCTCTCTCGCCCAGCACCTCACACCTTTCATTCTTTGTTTCCGTCTCTCTCTAGACCACAAAGGGCCTTTCTCTTCCAGCGCCTCATCATCTCTCCTTCTCTTGCCAGATCTAGGCGGGTGTCACCTTCACAGCCAGAGGACCTACTCGCCAGAGATCCAGAAAGCCATCGAGGGCGTCCAGTTCATCGCGCAACACATTAGGGACGCGGACCGCGATAATGAGGTATGAAAGACCTTCCTGACGGGGACGCCTGCGAGTGATGGGTGGGGACGACTGACTGGTGTGTTGTGTCATTAGGAACAGGTTGAAGTAGATGATAGGGGAGATACTTAGAATAGAAACACAAGGAGCAGTAGACGGGGAAAAGGATGATGGCAGGTCATTCACTTTAGGATCTCAGAGGTCCTTGTTTTTTTTTTTCGAAATTTTCGGGATAATTTTCATTGTGCTCCACCTACCGTGTGCCTGCAATAGAGGTCTTTAGGGTTGCATATACTCACAGCTTTTCAAGATTTGTTTTAGAAACCACTGAGTGTTTTTTTTTTACAAGACGAACTGTTAAGTTTTTTGTTAGAGGACTGTCAGGTGTTTACTGAGTGGCCTCCAGCTGACTTTGTTTAATTACTGTGTCTGTCATGGTAGAGACCGCATGACCTTGCTTACTCCTCAGACTTTTAATACTAATTCATATTAAAATGATCTGTAAATTGTTTTGTCTATACCAAAAACAATAGAATGAATGTATATAGAATGATTCCTAAGGTCTTGTTCACCTGAGGCAGTGACAGGTGTGTGTTGGAAGCTATAAAGTGGTTTATATTCATGTCTAAAATGGTCTGTATATTTTGTACCTGTGAGTCTCCATTAGCTTCGGTACTTTAGGTAGTTACAGGTCAGTTAGAGAATAAGTCTCCATAAATTGATATAAAACAATCGATATGGTTTAGGCCAGTAGTGTCTTTATGTATTAGTGATAATCAACGATCTGGTGTTATTGTTTGACTCCAGAAAAAAAATATATTGTAGGTTAAAAAAACATGAAAAAAAATCGATATTATCTTCAATCAAAGGAAAGGTTAAATTTATTCAAGAGCTTCAATATGGGAAAATAAAATCCTCAAACATGATAACCTTAAAAAAAATACAAATAAAATACAGTAAAATGATAAACAAGAAACAACTGAAAACAAAGAAATGACAACATAGAAGAGGAGAGGAATAGAAATTGTTGGTAGTGTAAAATGGATGCCGAAGTGTGAGACTCTACTGTCAGGGTGAGCTAACAGCTTACTGACGAGGCAAAAGAGTAATAGCTGGCCTCCAAAGTGTGTTCTGGTGGCCTAGCTGTTGCACTTATCAGGCTGTCTTAGTGTCAGATAGATGGAGAGAGAGAGAGGAGAGAGAGAGATATGTACGGAAACTGGGTGACTCAGCACTTACACCCGATAAACCGATATCAAAGGACTCGTTTACTGAACCGATAATCAGATAATAGTTTAATCTAATTCAACAGATTTCAAGTTAATCACTAGAACTATGATCAGATAACGAATTAATCTTGTTTAAACGACGATAAGGAAAAACCTGACTTAGTATCTTCCATTACTGAGCACTAACCCTTGTACAGTCTGGTTCCTTGCCGACAGAGGAACTAACATACTGGTACCCGGAAATAAGACAACATCCATTAATTACGTCTTATGTTTTAGAGATTTCTATTACTAGAGCTAAGTTGTAAATAACCCCAGCAGCTGAAGGTAAGAGTCAGATGTTGAATGAATAAATGAACCTTCAACTTTATGAACCATATATACCTTTAATTAGGTTGCGAACACTCACCTGCTGGAGGTATTTAGAAGACTCTCCTACATTGTTGACACACACTCTGCCTCTCTGTTGACATCTTCCTGTAGAGTGAAAACAAACTCTCAGTAAACAAATAATACTTGAGAAATTAAGATGATGATAAGATGATAAAAAACATTTATCCGTCAGTCCCTTAATGTTTACCGGGTGTGAGTGGTGACGTCACTACCAAAGCCCTCAGCTGGTGGTTGAGTTGTGTTTGTCTGAGTCAGGCAGGTATTACAGGAGTCAGGCAGGTATTACAGGTTAATTTAACACTACCTGGACGAGATATTAATGCTAGCTTAGGTTACTAGAAGGGGTTACATAAAACATGATCTTATCAAAAGTTTTGGATAAATTTTTTGATCCATTGTTTATCGCAAATTTTGGGGGAGTCGAGATTGTGACGTCATTCATAAAGATCTAACGAGGTGGACTGTGTGGTCAGTGGTGGCGCTGTACCATAACACAGTCGATGGTCAGTGGTGGCGCTGTACCCATCGATGGTCAGTGGTGGCGCTGTACCATAACACAGTCATGGTCATGTGGCGTGTACCAAACACAGTCGATGGTCAGTGGCGTTACCAACACAGCGATGGTCGGTGGGTGTACCATAACACAGTCGATGGTCAGTGGTGGCGCTGTACCATAACACAGTCATGCATCGGTCAGTGGTGGCGCTGTACCATAACACAGTCGATGGTCAGTGGTGGCGCTGTACCATAACACAGTCGATGGTCAGTGGTGGCGCTGTACCATAACACAGTCGATGGTCTGGTGGCGCTGTACCATAACACAGTCGATGGTCAGTGGTGGCGCTGTCCGCCACAGTCGATGGTCGTGGTGGCGCTGTACCAAAACAGTCGATGGTCAGTGGTGGCGCTGTACCATAACACAGTCGATGGTCAGTGGTGGCGCTGTACCATAACACAGTCGATGGTCAGTGGTGGCGTTGTACCATAACACAGTCGATGGTCAGTGGTGGCGTGTACCATAACACAGTCGATGGTCAGTGGTGGCGCTGTACCATAACACAGTCGATGGTCAGGTGGCGCTGTACCATAACACAGTCGATGGTCAGTGTCGCTCAAATAACACAGTCGATGGTCAGGGCGCTGTACCAACACACACCCCCAAACACACACGCGATGGTCGTGGTGGCGCTTCCATAACACAGTCGATGGTCAGTGGTGGCGCTTAAACACAGTCGATGGTCAGGGCGCTGTACCAACAGTCGATGGTCGTGGTGGCGCTGTACCAAACACAGTCGATGGTCAGTGGTGGCGCTGTACCATAACATCGTGGTCAGTGGTGGCGCTGCCCCAGTCGATGGTCAGTGTGGCTGTACCATAACCACACGTGGTGGCGCTCCATAACACAGTCGATGGTCAGTGGTGCGCTGTACCAAACCACAGGTCAGTGGGCGCTGTCCATAACACAGTCGATGGTCAGTGGTGGCGCTGACCACAACACAGTCGTGGTCGGTGGCGCTGTACCATACACAGTCGATGGTCAGTGGTGGCGCTTTACAACACAGTCGATGGCGGTGGTGGCGCTGTACCATAACACAGTCGATGGCTGGTCAGTGGTGGCGCTGTACCATAACACAGTCGATGGTCAGTGGTGGCGCTACACTCGATGGTCGTGGTGGCTGTACCATAACAGTCGATGGTCAGTGGTGGCGCTGTACCATAACACAGTCGATGGTCATGGTGGCGTGTACCATAACACAGTCGATGGTCAGTGGTGGCGCTGTACCAAACACAGTCGATGCAGTGGCGCTACAACAGTCGATGGTCAGTGGTGGCGCTGTACCATAACACAGTCGATGTATATATTAATCTGGAATCGATTTTTTATTATTACTTAAGTTCCTTTTGTTTTTGGTTCAGGAAGTCATTTCTCGCATGTTGCTTTGGTGATACCCGAGGGCCTGATCTCCTCCTCCCCTCCTCCCCAGTGAAAGGAGGATATAACTCATTTCAGTGTGTCTGTGTGTCTGTCTTTGTCTGTGTGAGTGACAACAAACTACTGCAGACTGATTTGTTTAATAACTTGTACTAACTAATTAATTCACTTGTGTTGGATGTGTTCAAGTGATTAACACCATTCCAACTTTATTGTCCCTTGTCAGTGTTTGTGAGACAGAATTAAAAAAAAAAAATCTCCAGATGCATTGACTGAATGTCTATATAAATTACTTTAAAATTTTACCTGGAAGAAACTAATACCAAGTTGCATGTGTTATTAACTGTGTTGATAATATTGATTATGACTATGCATTTTTTAACATTGACCAAATAATAGAATTTACAGGAATAATGGACGGACTCAAGTGGCAAGAGAACCCACATCGCTAAAATGACCTCCCTCCCTCCCCTGAGACAGACTCTTGTACCCTACTGACGTCACACAACTTAAAAGAAAACTCTCTTCTCGTTCTTTTTTTTTCATTACACTAAAGGTTTGCGCCAGGGGGACTATACCACGTCTCTTCACCAGCCCACATAACCTAATATTTGAATAATAAAAAACTTGCTATTATGAGCTGTCACTTGGAATCAAATTCTATCATAGTTTTGTATTTTTTGTTTCCATTTTCCAGGAGTGTGAAGACTGGAAATTTATAGCCATGGTCCTTGACCGGCTATTTCTCTATGTGTTTCTCCTTCTCAATATATGCGGGCTGGTCATCTTTTTCCGAGCACCGTCCCTCTATGACCAAAGACCGTCAATAGATCAGTTCATAACAGAGATAGGCTTAATTCTGCAGCCGCCCAGGAACAATTCACACACGAGCCAACAATAATTGTCCTCGACCGCTCTGGCTCCCCGCGTGTTACGTTCCCAGTAAGTTTGAAGTTTCCATCACTGCTCATAAGAGATCCGGCTGGTTATGAGCCTTGGATGTGGAGGTCAAGAAGGCTCGTTTTCCCTCTCCGTCTCTCTCTCTATCTCACTCTTTTCTTTATCTCTCTCTTGTTGGGAGAGGAAAAGGAGCTTTATTGAAGGACTGCTTATGGCTCAAAATCCGTGCGATGATCTCGTTATTATTAACACTTTCTTACATCCATTATATCTTTATTATATATTTATATGTATATACATATACATATATCATCCGCTTTGGCGCACTTTCGTTGTGCTTTTGTAACACTAATAAAACATTTAGTCCGAACTGAAACTTAACTAAACCGAACGATCTTAAACACCATCTAAACAAAAATAAAAAAAAAGAATGGATTTAGACGTCTTCATTTTGTATAGACCTCCGCTTGCATTTTCTTATATTAGTCTAGAGCCTCACAGCACGCTTGGTGACTGACTGCATGACTTGTTCATTGTGTACAGAAAGTAGTTGTCTGTCTGTCTGT